CAAATTCCCTTTTAATACTTATGTCTGGGCTTGACACAGAGAACTCATGTCCTGCTGTTTCTCACGTACAGTGCATGACAGAGTTTTTTCCATCTTACTACTCGATCTTATTATTTTTAATAATTGCATAATAGTTCACGAAGCGGATGTGCCCTGGTTTTCCAAACCATTCCTATATTATTAGACGTTAGATCGTTGCCATGGTTTCCACTATGAGAAGTAACCCTGAAAATGGATGGCTTCCTTTGTGGGGGCCTTTCCTTTCTTTTGAATCATTTCCTTATAATACATTTCCAGAAGTAAAAGATTAAGTGGGGTCTTTATGGTTCTGGACCCTACCTCTTACTGCCTCTTCTAAGGTGTGAGCCAGAATATATTCCACGGGCCACGGACAAGGGGACTGGTATGATCACCTGACACCAGAACTTTCTCTTTTCTTTCTTTTCCTCTTTCTGTCTTTCTCTCTTCCTCCTCATCCTCCTTTTTTTTTAAATACTGGGCACTGAATCCAGGACCTTGTACGTGTCAGGTATGTGATCTACCACTGAGCTACCTCCCCAACCTGTAAAATATTTTTAATTTGTAGTGTTTTGTGCTTATATTTCCTCATTTAAGATTATCAAGCTTGGGCACAAGTTCTTATCTCTTTCTCATGGACTCAGCTGTTGCTGTTTAGGGACAGAGTCTCACTATGTAGCCCAGATTGGCGCTGAACCTGTGATCCTCCTGCCTCACCCTCCCATGTGCTGGGATTACAGGTGTGCACCACTCTTCCCGGTCATAGCTGTTGCTTTTGATTTCACTGGAGCTGATGTTCAGAGCACATGACTCATGTAATTTAGGGTTTGTTTGGCCCTTTTTCTAGGAAATAAAAAAAAGACAATTGTTATTTCAGTAGGAGCTTTAGAGATTGTTGCTCAGATTTAAAAATAGCATTCAAAGTGTTGAGATTTTTTTAGGGTTGAGGATGTAGCTCAGTGGGAGAGCACTTGTCCAGCATGCACAGAGCTCTTGCCAGCACTGCTTACAAACAAAAATAAAAAACAGCCAAATTAAATGGGAATTTTAAGTGAATATTGCATTTTAGAATAAAAACCAGCTGGGTGCTGTTGGCTCACATCTGTAATCCTAGCTGCTTGGGAGGCTGAGATCGGGAAGATCAAAGTTCAAGTCCAGCTTGGGCAATGATTTGCAAGACCCCATTTCCAAAAGTAACCAGAGCAGAATGGACTGGGGGTGTGGCTCAAATGGTAGAACACCTGCTTTGTGAGAGCAAAGCCCTGAGTTCAAACCCCAGTCCCACCAAAAACAAAAAACAGTTGAAAAGGACATTTAAAAGATTTTTTTCTTTCTTTGAGACAGAGTCTCACTATGTAGACCAGGCTGGCCTTGAATTTTCCATCCTTAGCCTTCAAAATGCTGGATATACAGGCCTGTACCACCATGTCCACCCAAGGGAGCTTTCGAATGCTGCTGTGTGCCTCGATTTCTTTATAAAGACTTGCCAGTAGCAGTTAGAATAGGGCGATCCTTGAGGTAGTTTTGACTCTGGATGAGTTCCTCCTGCTTTTGCTCCTGGCTTATGATGGCAGTAAGTCACTTGGGCTGAGGGATCGAATTGGAGAGAATAAATAGGGGAAAGCTGCTGGTGCTTTAATTTTTTTTGGTGGGAGTGGGATTTGAACTCAGGGCCTCACACGTGCTAGAAGGCACTCTTGACCCACTCCTAGTCATTTTCTCTGGTTATTTTGGGATCTCAAGAACTGTTTGCCCATGCTGGCCTCCAGCTGTGATCCTTCTGATCTCAGTCTTCCAAGTAGCTAAGATTACAGGTGTGAGCCACTGGCGCCTGACTAGGGCAAAGCTTCTTAACTTTACCTATAATAAAGTAATACTAGCAGCTTATATGGATATAATCTCTATGATTGTCAGGCACTATTAATGGCTTTACATACAGGGATGGTAACTCATTTAATTCTTACAACAACCTTGTAACACAGATGTCTTGATTATTTCCATTTTATAGGTGAGGAAAAACTGAGGTCCAGACAGTTGGACGCTAGGACTTCTAGTTTACCATTCCCACCTGATTTCTTTTCGTGCCTTTGCTGAATCTGACTGTTTCAGCCGGTTTCTCTTCTGATCGGCCAGGCCAGGCCACTGCTGCCCTGTGTCCTGCTTGCCCCCTCTTTGGGACACCCAGTAATGATGTTCTTAGCAGTAATAGTGGCTTCCTGTGTGGAACAGTGAACACGGCAAGGTATCATTCTGGCGTTACAGACACAATCTCATTGAGTTGCTGGGACCACACCTGAGGCAGGTAATGTGAGGAGGCTGAAGGAGGTGTCTGCAGCCTGTAGCACTTTGGAGGCCAAGCTCATCCCCTCCACACAAGGCTGCCTTTTGCTTCTGCAGTTCCTTTTCTGACTTTTGCCCTACTAGTTCCTGGTCTTAGCCACTCAGTTGTCATTCACAACGGGCAGCTGAACTGGCTGGCTGGCTGATTGGGCATGTCCTGGCTCTTTTTCCACATAGCCTGGGAGCCCCTACACCCAGCCCTAGGCTCTCGTGGGGCCAGGGGTGTGGGCATTGCTAACTTTACTGACTCTGGTGACCGCAGAGTCCTCTGCTGTCTCTATGTCCAGGCATTGGAGGTGGGCTGCTACCTGGGCAATCCAGATACCCTCTCCATTTTTCAGGAAATAGCTCTTGCTGTGGCCACATTAGGTGCAGCCAGACCTGGAGATTTGCCTTTTTTGGAGGAATGGATTGATGCAAAGTTGGGTGTGACATAAGAGAAATTGTTCTTTCAATCATACGATAATTCCCTTCTAAAAGAAACAAGTTTGTCACAACTGAGCATCACTTTTTGTTGTATTTCTTTGGGGATTAAATCAGAATTAACATTAGATTTGCTTATTTTGGCAGTTAAGGGCCAGAATTAATCACTTTATCTATCTATCATCTATCGATCGATCTATCAATCAACTGTCTATTCTATTGGGGTTGAACTAAGTGCCTTATGTTTGCTAGGCAGACACTTTCAGCCCTTTTTTGGCATTGGTTGTTTTGAGAAAGGGTCTCACTTTACGTTCAGGCCTGCCTGGACCTCGACCCTCCTATTTGTGCTTCCTTGCATAGAAGGGGTATGATAGGCACTCACCACCATGCTAGTTTTCATTGGTTGGGTGGTGTCTTATGCACTTTTTGCCTAGGGCTAATCTTGAACTCCAGTCCTCCTGATCTCTGCCTTCCAAGTCGTTAGTGTTAATGGCTTGAGCCACTGTTCCATACTAATCACCGTATTTATAAGTGTGACCATATCTGTAGCATTCGGTAAGACGCGTCTTAAATTTTAGGCATCTCAATGACTTTGTAAAATTGGCTTTTTTTGGGTGCATCCAAAGCTCTCAGTTTTAGGCCTGTGTTTGTGTTATTTAAACCAAAGTTTGGGTATGGAGGTATTGTTGCTGGGTTTTCATAAACTGTCACTCTTGCTGGGAAAGGGCAGGTTTGGGACCGTGGAGGGGCTGGGTTTGGTCTGTCTGGTCGGGAAGTTTCAGTGGACAAGGGCAAAACTAGACCCAGGAGGACTGCTCTTCTAGAGCCATGCCTCCCTGCTTCCTGCAGGTGTTGTGATGGGCAGAGACCAAACCAGATCTTGCTTGAGAGAAGGAGTCTAGGGGGACCACGCCTGCTTCCAGCACACTGACGTCTCCTTCCAGTTTAGCTTTTGTCTGGTTCTCTGAAGTGGTTGGAACAGAAGTGTGGTCAGATAAATGACTGTCTGAAGGATTTATGAGATCACATAAGCAAGATTATTTGGGAAAAAAAGGCTCTACCTGTTTGAAATAACAAGTATACAGATTATTTGGGAAAAAAAGGCTCTACCTGTTTGAAATAACAAGTATACATTTCTTGAGAGAAATGAGGGGCTTCGGGGCTGGGGGTGTTGCTCAAGCAATAGAGTGCTTGCCTAACAAGTGCATAGCCCTGAGTTCAAATCCCAGTATCGCTAAAAACAAACGAATAAATAAAATTAGGGGCTTCTGAGTTTTAGGAAGGTAAAGGGTATGACCAAAAAAGTACATGTTTGTGGCACGATTTTTGAGAAAGTCTTTAATGCAATTGTTTATCTAACTGTAGTCCTAGACAAATCCCAGTTACAGTGGTTTGATTCTATTAAATTATATGCTGTTTCTTATTTGACCATCTCACTTGGATGGGAGGAATGAAGGAAACAGAAAAGGGGAACTTTAGTCTCAAGGAATAATGTCCACATTCATGGCAGAGATAGAGGACATTAGCATTTTTCTTATGATGTGGCATGTTATGAACATGGCCTGTTCTTGTAAAGGCTTAAGATAAATGAGGTAGATATTAAAACCTGTGTATGAGATGGGTGTGGTGGCATATACCTGTAATCCTAGCACTCAGGAGGATCAAGAGTTTGAGACTTGCCTGCACAAGACATTACCTCAGACAAAACTATGAGAAACCCAAAAAACCTGCATACCCAACCTGTGTGTGTATGGGTTTATTTCCATGAAGTCAGTTCTTAAAAACTCATGTATCAGGGGGTGTTGAGCTGTGTCACTTTCCTTTTTACATGTGGACATACCTGGCACAATGACTGGGCTGTGTGAACATCACGTAGGCCCATGTGGTGTTACCCATGCGTTGTGATTAGTTTCGTTGTCAGAGATTTCAATGATTGGCACATTTACAAATGGGATTCCTCCAGTACCCCTTCCGTTGTCCAGATCTGCATCTTGCTGGGTGGTGACTGAATTCTGAAGTTAACAGGATGGGGTTTTTAAGAGTTGCCAGGGTCAGGTCCATGGCACAGGGGAACCACGTGCAGCCCAGTGAAAGGTCCTGCTTGCTGAGGGCAGGGAAGGGCAAGGCACTGACCATCTTGTTTGCTCCCAGCTGTTGGCCAGGTGACAAAGTGATGGATAACCATCTCTCCTTCTCTCTCTGTGCCCCTATTCTGCCAGGCGGGTGCCCCGGTGATGTCCAGTGCGGGAGAGGGCACTAACCCCGAGAACAGCGAGCTCAAGTATTCAGGTCAAGATGGGCTCTACATCGGCGTCAGTCTGTCTTCTCCAGCCGAAGTCACATCCTCTGTGCGACAGGATTCCTGGTGTGCTCTGGCCCTGGCCTGAGCTGGTGCTGCCAGGAGGCAGAGAGGGCTCTGCTGAGGGCATCGAACCACTTGTGTCTCATTTTGTCCAGCAGTCCAGACGGGGGCGACGATGCAGACAGAACATTCCTCTGATGCGTGATTTTCGTGCCTTGGTTTTGAAAGAGATGTATTTCCCAAGAGGCTTGGGGAAGGGCCAGCGGCAGCAGGCGGGCTTTGTGCCCCCCAGCCAGCCTGCGTTCAGGGGCTGGCCCCCGCATCACCAGTCGGAAACTGGGACTGGGACGGGGCCTTGCCTGCGAAGGAAGATTGAGAGATTTTTGATAATGTGTATTGCCCCAATCATGTGCTTCTTCTGATCGGTTTTGGTTAGTCCAGAATTCTTCATAGCTGTTCCACATGCAGATTTCACACGAGTTCATGGAGATCACTGGAGGCCCTTCGGTACCCAGCCTGGCGGCGAAGTGGCTTTCTGAGCTGTCTTGTCAAGGACATCCACCAGTTTGCAAGACTGCGTCATAACTCGGACGGACACGGTGACTGGCGTGTCTCAAAGATCACTTTTCGGGACTGATCTGAGGTCACTCAGAATTTGTAAACAGGGTAGCAAACAAGATATTTTTCTTCCATGTATACAATAATTTTTTTTAAAGTGCAATTTGCGTTGCAGCAATCAGTGTTAAATCATTTGCATAAGATTTAACAGCATTTTATAATGAATGTAAACATTTTAACTTAATGGTACTTAAAATAATTTAAAAGAAAATGTTAACTTAGACATTCTTACGCTTCTTTGACAACTACATCCCATTTTCTAGATTCCCAATTGTTGAAGAAAACGGTTGCAAGAACAAATCTTCTCTCAGGAAAAATGCCTTTGTCCATTTGTTAAGGATTTTTATACAAGAACACCAACCCCCCCCCCTTTTCTTTTACTGTGGAATATGTGCTGGAAAAAAATTGCAACAAAACCTTACTACCTAACAGATAGCATTTGTAAATAGCCTAGGCACCTGTAAACACTGATGAAGTCTGTATAGTGTGACTAACCCACAGGTTGGTTTACATTAAATTTTTTTTTAAATGGGATGTCATATGGAAACCTATTTCACCAGAGTTTTAAAAATAAAAAGGGTATTGTTTTGTCTTCTGTACAGTGAGTTCCTTCCTACTTTGCTTCACTTTGATGCTATCCTGGCTTATATTATATGTATCTTCATACAAAGCAAGTGCAGACTGCTGATGTATACCTTGATTTGTTTGAAGTTGGCACATGGGATTAGTTACCACATCCCATTTGCATTAGGGATGGGTGGGCACTGGGATTTGAACTCAGGGCCCAGAGCTTGCTAGGCAGGCACTCTTATCACTTGAAACATGCTGCCAGCTCTTTTTCCTTTAGTTATTTTTTAGATAGGGTCATTTTTTTTTTGCCCAGGGCCCAACGTTAGATCAAACTCCTCCTATTTATGCTTCCCTACAGCTATGATCACAGGTGCATGCCAGCATGCTTGCTTATTAGTTGAGATGAAGTCTTGCTACCTTTTTGCCTGGGCTGGCCTAGAACCCTGATCCTCTTGATCTCTGCTTCTGAGTAGCTGGGATTTTACAACGTGAGCCACTGTGCTGATGTGTCAAACTTTTTATAAGTGAAAAGGATTCAGTACTGAATGACATTGCCTCATGTTATAAACATTCTGTTTTGGAACAGTATTTAAAAACATGTAGCAAGTACACAACTTCTTTCCTAGGAAAGGAAATACACTCTTGTGTTCTTAAGAACAGAATGGTTTCCTTTTGCAAAGTGCAGCAGTCTCAAAACTCACCTGAGGTTGCTGACCTCACACTCACCACAGAAATGATCTCTCAGGCTCTTTGATTTTTTCTTCATTATTGGATGGATTTTAGGAAATAAGGAGGCTGTTCCATAGCATGAAATGGTGGTATTTAACTGACTCCTTGAATGTGTGCATTTGGACTTTTTTCATGTGCTTATTACAGCCAGTCTGGGACTCAGACTGAATCTTTAAGAGAAGGGCAGGCTTCCTTAGTGGTGGGTGTCTTTCCACAGTAGGCTGTGCTGGGAGTGACCCAGGGCTGGTGTGTGTTTGCATGCGGATCTGGGGGATTCATGGGAGCCCACGTGCACCCTGCCATCAGATGGAGGGCTGGAGCCAAGGGTAAGAATGCTGGGTTATGGAATCAGACCATGGGGCTTGAGTCTGCAAGTCTAGCTCCTAGCCTTGGGCAAGTTATCCAACCCTCATTTTCCTAATCTACAAAATAAACCAAACAGCATAAAACTCAATGGGTGCTGCATGAGATTGTTGGTGTGAAGTGCCGAGAACTGTGCAGAGTGAGCGTCAAGTGTTTATTTGCTTTAGAAAGAGGGTGGTATGAGCTCCTACATGTTGGGTGCTTTGAATCGCATCTTACTTCTTGTGTAGTGTCAGAAGTTTATGACTGATGTCCTGAGGGTCACCTGGACTTTTTTTTTGGTGGCATTGGGTTTTGAACTCAGGGCTTCTTGCTTGCTAGGCAGGCACTCTACCACTTGAGACACTCCACTAACCCTGTTTTGTATTGGGTTTTTTCAAAATACGGTCTCTCTTTTGCCTAGGGCTGGCTTCAAACCACAATTCTGATCTCTGCCTCCTGAGTGGCTGGGATTATAGGCATGAGTTACCAGTGTGTGGCTCGCCGGTATTAATTGAACAAGGCTGAGGAGAAATGAGGAACTCCCCCATTCCAGGGGCAATGTAGATGCAGGGAGAGTGTGTGAGAGAGTCCAGTCTGACTTGGGCTGATTGTTTTATAGAACAGGGCTGCTTTGACAGGAGAAAATTATTACCCTCCCTTACTGATTCCTGTCTCCTCCAGCCCCCACCCCTCTACGGTCCTTATTACTTAAGAGTGTTTTCTGGTGGATTGGGAATTGTTAATATGCTTTGATCACAAAATGGATTTTTCTTAACGTTGCTTCCAGATGATCTTTTTGTTTTGGTGTGTGGGGGGGTCTCAGATACTCCTTCTAATCCTAAGAGTTCATTCAGTTCTTAATCTCCCCCCACCTTTTTTTTAAGGATACAAAGTGGAAAGAATTCTAGTTATGAAATAAATTACAAGGAGCAGAAGAAAGGGAAGTGGCTTCTTGCAGCCTGTTTTAACACAACAAACTACTCATCTGGGCCTTTTAAATGAGCACTTTCTTACTTGTGATTGGGAAAGCAGAAGTTTGATGACTTGCTTCAATACAGTCTTGATACTCCTCCTCTAAATATGGTATACAGAAAACCCCATATCCACCAAAACCGAAATCACTTCTCAGTAGGGAATGCATTCAAATAGATGGTGGTCCTTGGCCTAAAGGATCCTCAGACTTATTACCACGGGTTGCAGAATTTATGTCCTCTGTCACCCTTGGCTGAGTTTTGGGCCATCATATATAAAGGAAGGCTCTGTCTGGGGGCTCTCTTCAGGGTCGCTTCATGTTGCTTCCTGGTGCCTATGGGAGGGTCAGGAAAGCAAAAGAGAGCCATTCATTTTCCTCTGCAAATTAACCAGTGTGCCTCATGGGAAATGTTTTCCCTGGGCCTTGGAAATTTGGTGTCATTTTAGATTATAGATAAATTAGTTGCTGGGAGTTAGCAAGACTTCGGTGGCTATGCCAGGTCCCGGTCTAGGGCAGTCTGATGGCTGTGGTGTATTAAGCTCTATGTGTCGCTGAAGGTGTGGCTCAAGCAGTAAAGCACATGCCTAGTGAGTTCTGTATTTGTGGATTCTCTGGGTCCTTATGACTGAGAAGGAAATATTAGGCCGTGAGCAGAATGCTCTGTCTAATGTAATGCATCTTGTTTTGGGGTTGGAACAAATCGTTCTGGAAATACTACTTATCTCCTGTTGCTTGGAAGCTCTTGCTGTAGTCAGAAGTTTGATTATTTTAACTGGGAAACACATAGTAAATTTGGTAGACCAAGTCTTTTGAAACAGAGTCTGTGGGTCAAAATTTGTTACCTACAGCTCTGTCTGCTTGAGACAATGGAGTCTGTGTGACTGAACATCCAGCAGCTGTTTCTGAGCATGCTGCTTTGCTCATGACCTCTGTTTGGGATTGGGGGTGGGTGGAGTCCAGGCACAAGAAAGTGCTAGACACTGTAGGACACGCAGAGGAGAAGATGTAGTGTTTTAGTTGGCTCAAATGCAAGCTGTAGGTGGGCTGAAGGCCTGAGGTCATTCCTACGGACTGAGGAGAAAGCGACTGAGCGCTAGTTCCAAATAGCTCAAGTTAGGAAGTTGTCAGCATGTTGAACCCCTGAGACTCACACCAGAGCGAGCATCCACACTCCCCCAAGTATTCTGTTGTACCCCCACATCTGCTGTAGGGCACTAGCATGACAACAGGTACCACATTGTTCTTTCTGCTCAGTAACTGTCATGGGGACATGAGTGTCACTTTTTTTTTTTTTAAGAATGAACATTGGAAAAATGGCTAAACTATAGCAATTAAAGATGAAATAATGTTTTCTTAGTAGAGTGCTTACATTTCGGTTATCAGTGTCCCCCTGTGTTAAGATAGTTATCTAGACATCCTGCAGCTTTGGGGTAAGTTAATTCTTCTCTTTGGGCCTCAGTCTCCGTGAAATGGAGAAACTGGACAGTGTGGTCTCGAAGGTTCCTTTCAGATTGTATCTGAGGTGATGGGAGTGGTCTGTGGCTAGGTCTGGGTTCCCCGAGTTTGAGGGGCCCTCACTACTTAGGGAAGCTAGTGGAATTCTTTTTGCCGCTTCAACTCAGGCACTGGTCTATAGATACCAAGCCTGCCGAGGGTGAGGTCTAAACACAGGAACGGTTCCATGTGCCATTGCCCCCAACACTAAACCTGTTTGGTCTGGGGCCCCTGATAGGAAACATACAGCAATATGAACCCAGATCGGAAAAATGGAAAAGTCTGACAGCTGAGCAGTCAGCAGAGCAAGGAAAAACCACCTTTGCTTTGTTTGACCCATTGGCTCAATGTCTTGTAGTGGGTTTTTTATTTCTTGAAAACAACCAGCTTTCATTGCTTCTCTTCTGTGTTTT